TAATGACAATATTTAAGGTTTGAAGATTTGCTTTTATTTTTAGCCTTGCAACTAAGGTAGTCTCAAGCAGGGATTGCTGTAGTTTATCATTTCATAGTTTCTGTTAATACAAAGTGACAGGATCTACTCATATTTCATTGCTGGGAGAAATGCTTGGTGCACAGGGAACTTGAGCAATGGGTGATAGTTTGTTTTCATCCAGCTTGTTCCTTTTGTCCGATTAAGTCCTGGGTTTTACTGTGCATCCTGCTTTGAACAGTGATGGAAATGTGAGATAATACTGTTGACACGCAGGAGCTGTTGGGAGAAAAACTTCAATCATTGATCAATTGCAGCCTCCTTGTTAGTGAGTCTGATTAAACAAGGGTGCACCTACCCAGCCTTAATTATCACTTTTAATAAGCTTCATTTCTTCTGAGCCAGGCTCCAGTTTAGTTTTTATTTTTTATTTTTTGTTCCTTCCCCTCCCTCCCCACTTTCTAATTGAAAACAGGGGCCTAGGCGGTTGCTCTGGGATTTCTGTGTGAAGAGCTTCCTCAGTAGACTGGCATCTCTTTACACAGATTGTATATCCATAGCATTATCCCCTCCCTTCCTGGTGCCATACAGATCTCCTCTCTCTGCAATCTCATGGGGAAATGACTCTACTAGCACGTATTGTGGAGCCAGATTTCCCATACTCTTCAGACTACTGGAAAACCCCAAGATATGGCTTGCCCAGGGTCACTACCTTTTCATTTTCCTGGTGAGAGTCTCACGCTTTTAACTCTTGTCAGGCAGACAAATTCAACAGTAAGGGTAAGCTCTCATACGAATCTTCTCAACTGGTTTGCTTCAATGCCAGGAAAAACGGTGGCAATTAAACTTCTTATCTGTCATGCACACAAAAGAGAGTGATGGCCTTAATTTAGCCCAGAAGGAGGGGAGAAAAGAGGAGAATAAGATTCTTGTGCATGTGTGTGTAGACGCATCTGTTATTGTTGACGTTTCTTTTCCTCTTGTGGCAACTCTGCCACTGCTGTGAAGCAGATTAGGCCTCCAGAAGCGCTTTCTGTCTGACTGCCATGTGGTGCTCTGTGGCTAGGCAGTGCAGGAGGAGAGCAGAAGCCACCCAGAGACTTTTTTAGTAATTCGGACAGCATACAAAAACCTTAAAGAAATAAAAACAGAACACAGGCTGGGCAAGCGGAAGGACCCAGGATCGATCCTTGGTAGGCCGGCAAAACTGGGGAGTCACTGCTGTTACTGTGGACAACCCTGGACTGGATGGATCAAGAATCTGACTCATTCTAAGGCAGCTTTCTATATTCCTATTTACATGGGTCAGTCTAGGCACATGGGATTCCCAGACACATGTGCATCTTTTCCAAACCTTGGTGCCTCCTTTGCACACCTCTTCCCACACTCAACTCTCTTCCCCTTTCCACCTCACCTCTCCAGTCCATCTCCCTCTTCTCCCCCTTTCATCTTCCTTTCTCTTTTTCTCATTGGATGCCTCTTTGCCCCTAACCTTCCTGCCATCTGGTTGCCCAGTCTGGCAGTTTTCTTGGCAGGGAGAAGGGTGTGAGGAAGTATGCTAGTGTGCATCCCAGGGGTTGCTTAGCAACCAGGGTATGCCCACACATCCCTTCCCATTCTCCAAGCTTGTCCCTGGTGATCCAAGGCAAGGCAGGGAGAGCCATGTAGTCACTGGAGAAGTTCTTGCACGGCTGCAAATGGGAGCCATGGTGGAAATGGCTAAAGTAGCTTCCCCAGGGACAGTGCCCATGATGTTGTCTTGCTTCTGGGCAGTGAATCAGACTGGTCCACCCTTCCTGGGCAGCTCATGTATTCCCTTCACATACAACCACTCCTGTTGACTGAAGCTCCACACACAGTACGCTTCTCTGCTTCCATATTTTAAAACAAGAGGGAAGCTTCCCTGCAGCACTAAGGACCCAAGAAATGCCATGCTGGGTCAGACCCAAGGTCCATCTAGCTCAGCAGTCCATACACATGGTGGCAAACCGGTTGTCAGAGGATCCCTCAAGCAGAATGGATGCAAGATCTTTCCTAGCCCAAGCTCCTCAGCAGCTGGTGTGAATGAAAGGGATTCCAGAGGGCTCCCAGCCAAATCAGTTAGAAGTCACTGTAAAGTTATTTTTTCCCTTTTCCTTTCTTAAGACGAGCCATTACTAAAGGAAGATAACAAATCCTGGACGCCCTGAAAGATGCTGTGGCTGAGGCAGGGCGTTGTGCAGTAAAAGCTTTATCTGCAAGAACCCCAGGATTCCAGGCCTAGCTGGAAACTGGCAAGGAGAGTGATGATCCTGATTACCACTAATAAATCATACCAAACATCTTATTTCCATCACCTATCAATAACAGCTACCCTAAGGTGACTATGTAGTAGGAATATCATGCTGTGATATTCTCTGAAAAGACTGGGAGAGACTTTACTTTCTCATCCAACCTGCGATTGCTCAGAAGGAAATCTGTTTTTTTCATGGGTCTTTTTCCAGGAAAAAACATGGAGAGGTTAGGATTGCAGCCTTTAAAGGAGTCAGTCATTAGTCCAAATGGCATGATTTTTGCTTGCTATTTGGTGCCTGTGTAAAAAGGTGGTACTCTGACCCATATATTTATTTTCTGTGAAATTACATGTCATGTCTGCCTGTCATGAACAATTTGTTAGAAAGGTTAAGACACATTAGTGAAGCAGGTGCTGTTCTTTCAAAAACACGTTTCCCCCCTTTATACAAATGTGAACCTTACCTACCTCCAATGTAGCCTTACCTCAAGAAGCCAGTTTAGAGCATGGTTCAAGTATATAAATATGGGTCTCCCTAAATGCAAGTGTATTTGGCCATAGTAGTCAGAAAAGCAGGCCACTCAGCCACTGCGTTCACACTATTTAAGCCACGCAGCCTGTCCTGCAACCCTTAGCCTAGCCAACTGCCTTCATGAGCAGTTGTTGTATGCATCATGGACATCAGCTTTGTTTATTTTGTGAACATAAGCAAATATCCTTCCGTGCTAAAGATAGTTTTCTGAGCTCTGAAATCAGTGAAAGTAGAACAGAAATTAAAGCACTTTTGCAAAATTTGCTAGGAATAATGAAACAATGCAGGGAAGCTGGTGAGAAGAACTTGAGCACATAAAAAGGCAGATGACATGGATGAAGAACTGAAAACACCCAGACAAAACAGGAGAAGAGTACCAAAGAGTTCTACTGGTGAACTGTCTCCATGTCCTAACCACATTTGCCTTTTACCACACTGAGGACTTGTTTCAGTGATCAAATCCAACTTGCTTATAGTTTTCTGAAACTACATCCATCTCCCCTTGTATTATGTTTTCCTTTATGTTATGGACAGATATGCAGTAGCAAAAAAGTCAGACTAGTTTCAGACCTTGTGTCTGGCGTTCATCACAGCCAGTGGCAAAGGCAGTTCAATATAATAAAGTGTAGTGAAATGCACGTTGAGGCCAAAAAATCCCAACTTCAAGTGTACACTGTCAGGATCTGAACTAGCGGCGACCAAGCAAGAAAGGGGTCTTGGGGTGATGGTGGACAGCACAATGAAAATTTCAGCCCAGTGCACAGCTGCTGTGAAAAAGGCAAACTCCATGCTCTGCATAATTAGGAACAGAATATAAAATAGAACTGCCAAACCCTTATTTCCCTTATGCAAATCTTTGGGGCAACTGCACTTGGAATATTATGTTCTGTTCTGGTCACCTTACCCTAAAAAAGAAATCATTGAGTTGGAAAAAGTACAGAGAAGGGCAACAAAATTGATCAGGGGCTGGAGCAGCTTCCCTATGAGGAGTGCCTACAACAACCAAGACTGTTCAGCTCAGAAAGGAGGCAAAGAAGGGAAAACAGGACAGAGGTGTTTAAAAAAAAGCACAGTAGGGAGCAACTAGAGAAGGAGGCATTTTCTCCCTCTTCCGTAACGCTTGAAAATGTGGTCATCCCATGAAGCTGATGGTAAATGGTTTCAGGCAGATAAAAGGAAGCACTTCTTCGCAAAGCATATAGTTAAACTGTGGAATTTGCTGCCATGGGAAGTGGGGATGGCCACCAATCTGGATGGCTTTAAAAAGAATTGGAGAGATTCATGAGGGAGGAGGCTATTGGGGGTTGCTAGCCTTGCTGGCTGCGTGCTGCCTTCTTTACCAGAGATGGCCTGGCTGCATACAGCCGTTGCTGAGGAGCTTGGGCAGGCAGAGGATCTTGCTTCAGGGATGCTGTGGGGCAGCTGATTTGCCACCATGTGTACAGAGTGCTGGACTAGATGGACCTTTGTTCTGATCCAGCAGGGCTTTTCTTACATTCTTAGGTTCAGAGTCTGGGTAAAAAGTATACAATTCAGCCATAGGATTCTTAAATGTTTTTCCATGGAAAAATCGAAGCTATATATGCCTTCTCCATTGTTGTTCAGTGGGCAAATAAAAGACTTCGTTAGAGGTTAGTTCTGAACTGTATTGTCCTCTAAAACACAGTAAATTATCAAGTAGCACAGCGCACCCTTCTTCTTCATTGCTTCTTGCATCATGTGTTGTGTGCATGCGTCCTGGCAAGATTCCCAGGCATACACGACCATTTTGGTGGGATTGATAGCTCTGAATCTAAGGATGATGGGGAGTTGGCAGACCTAGATAGGGCCGAGAGCTCCAACTCTGATAACAGAATTGTTGTTGTAATGGGCAGGCCTCCACCTGCAGCCCCAGTTCCTTGGTACGCATCTGTGTCTGCTCAAGATGAGATTAGTTCAAGGACAGCCATGGGGCCCAGTCCACATTTATGTGGGAATGAAGAAGAATAACATCTGGAGGAGGGGATTGGGAGATGGCAAGTATCTTGCCTGCAATTCTTCAGTCAGTTAATCACATACCTTTTCAGTGATCTTTGATCCATCCTTGTTGTTTATGACTCTTCCTCCATTTGTTGTTTTGGTCCTGGGGAATAAGATGGTCCATTTCGTGAGACTCTTCCTTTTCTTTCTCTTCTGCAGGCTTGGGGACCAATTCTACAAAGAAGCCATAGAACACTGCCGCAGCTACAATTCCCGGCTCTGCGCTGAACGCAGTGTCCGACTTCCTTTCCTGGACTCGCAGACTGGCGTAGCTCAGAATAACTGTTACATTTGGATGGAAAAGAGGCACCGGGGACCAGGTATAAATGGCCTATAAATAGTGTGAAGGCCGTGTGGAGTCCAGTTACTCAGAATGCTAAGCTTTTGAGCAGCCACATGACAGAGAACTTGTCTAAAATGGCTGGCTGGAAAGGGATTCCCCTTGGTTGCTACAGAAGGGAAGGAAGCCCTCATTATTCCTCCACCCCCACTCTCTGTCAATAGAGATGATTTCTTAACATGTTCCCCAATTCCATCCTTAATGCTGTGTCATCTCAGCGCCTTTACTTCTATCGATCTCCATTGCAATGAAAAAGCCAGGGCCCAAGTGAGTGGAAAGCATTCTTAAATACAGTTGAGAGGGAAGGCACTCGTACATTGTTATCGATGCATTTGAAAATAATGAATTTTATTTCTCAGAAGGAAATGTACTTTTGTGGTCCGCTTGCCATTTGAACATGACATTATCTATTACCTGCTTGAGAAAGAGTCTGGAACCACCTTCCCTCTTACTTGTGCTTCCTTTCATTGCAAAAAAGACAATGAACTTGAAATAGTAAGGCTAAAACTATACATTGCATGGAATCCTGTAGTCTCCTCCACACACACACACCTTGAACAGCCTAAGGGTAGACAATTCATTTTTTCCCTTATGATCTATTTCCTTTCCAAGCAGCATTTTCACATCACCAAATAGATGCATGGGAAAAATTCATAGATCTTATTTTTTTACCCTTCTGAGTTTGTTCTGCTAAAGAAGAGCCACAAGGAAAGGGTTAAGCAGGATCTTATGTGTACCCACCCACCCACCATGCAGATTCATAGCCTGCCTAGGGAAAAAATCAAGGCCAGCTTCAACTTGAAAGAAAGTTATTGGGAAGGGAAAAGTAGATTGTTCACACAGCCAATTTAACGTTCTAAATGTTTAATAACCTACTTGATAAGCGTATTACAATATGATGATGATCAGCTGATGAAGCAATCATGCCTGTCCTTCTAACACCAGTTGGTCTGATTCAGGACTGATTTCAGTCACATCCTGGCACCAGCTGAGTCTGGCAATGGAGACAGTCTTTGAATCAAGTCCAATATTTGCAAATTAAGTTTCAGTAATTTCTTCCTTTCTCCTCTCAGTCATATTTTTAAAAAGTTGTCTTACCTGTAGATTTTGGGGTTTGGTTGTTGTTTGTTACTGAAGCATGGCCAATCAGTGCAACAAGCTTTTCTCTTTATTTTCAAGTTAATGGGCACTATGGGCCCAAATTAGTTGTTATTTCCATCAAGTCCATATTGATAGCCCTTTGGTTGCCATCACTGCAATGTAGCCCTTTAAAGGCCCAGCTCACACATCACAATATTCCATTGCCAGCTGCAATGGGTGCCAAGGTATGATTTTTAAATGTAACTAATATTGGTATTGAATCATGGGAATGACTAGTAGTTGAAGAATGGGCAAAACTGTTATTTTTGGGGAATAAGGAATTTGGGGATGCCGGTTCATGTAGTATGATTGGTGTTGCTGTAAGGAGTTGCTAAACTCCCCTGGTTGTTTAGCATGAGAACTCCCTGACAAGTCAGAGTTCCTAGTTCACATGTCCTGTTAAACAACCCAGCGATAGAGCATTCCTGGGTTGTCTCGCTGCTGCTGCTGCTTGCAGCAGGAGCGACCAGGCCACGTGCTCCAGAATGCTTGCTTGTTCCCAAGAGCCAGAGCTGCAAAAACAAACTAGGGTGCCATTGCATGTGAACCAAGCCACAGGGTGGGGTTGAAAGGCTCCTTTTTCCATTCATTCATTTCCATTCATTTATTCTACTTGTCTGCTGCCCCATAGCCCATAGGGCTCCCTGGGTGGCTTACAATAGAACAACAACAACAACAAAAACCATATTCCATCCACATACAATAATATATTAAAGCAATACAATCTAGCAATACAATATTCAACTGTGAGCAATACGAAGTCAGAACAAAACTTAGTACAATAATATAATACATAATGTGATACGTAATATCAATACATGATACCATACAATGCAGTACATAATGCAATGCATAATATCAGTAACAGTTGCACTAAGCTGCTGGCAACAGCGGTTCCCCATGTGGAACAAGCTGTCCATGGATCCTGGCAGCTCCTTGGCATGAGAGTGTGGGGCTAAAGTGGGGGGCAGATGTGCATGGAAGCGTGTGCAGCACCAGTGGCTGTTCGCATTCTTTCCTTTGCCTTCTTACAAGAGCTCCTGTACCTGCATCCCTGTGACGCATATTCTGTAGCCTGCTGTTCGATGTGTGTGAAGGGCCCCTTTCCCCCTGACACGCTATGCAGGCAACATGGGCCACAGCGGCCTTGCCGTTCCTCCTGCCCATCATGTAGACAAAGATCCGCGTGGGGTGGTGCCAGGACTAGAAAGAACGGAATCCAGTGCGAGAGCGGACTTCGCCCTTGAAGAGACAGCCAAATAATTAAATAAATAAAGTCCTCTGCTCTCATTTAAGAATCTTTTCCATCTCTTCTTACCAGACAAATCTGGTAGTTCTTTATGGCTGTGAGGTAAGGGCTAATCTGCAAATTCAGAAAAAGCATGTGATATAGTCTTTTTTGGGGAATGTACCATGTGAGAGTGAAGGGGGGAATTTGCATTACTCAATAATACCCATATCAAACACCATAAAAAGCATGTCAAGGATGGGGTTTCTAACTTACCTATCTCCCTAGTGTATTAGTTTACTAAATACATATGGCCCCCTTCTGCCAACTTTCCAGATTGGCATGGTCCTAGTGACTGAATACATGGGTGTGCTCTAAGTTTGACTTTCTTCAATGGCTATACAGGCATATTTTTCAATAGCACTGAACCCCATCAAAAATTCCTTCCCGTTTACTCTGTTCTTTGGGTTAGGCGTACATCTGTTTCATTACTCCTACCTCCCTAACCTGCAAAAAGATGCAGAAACAGCTTTTCCTCTTTAACGTTTCTGGATGTAAGAAAGTCCCTCCTCTATTGCATCTACTTGCCTTTGTACAGTTCTTTGAACTCAGGCTGTATCTCATGGCAGGCAGTTCAGGGTTAATTTCACACAATACTGCCCATACCTCCTTTCCGCTTTTCCCTTCCTTACCCCTTAGCCTTTCACTCTAGCGTTGAGTTATGACTCTTCCACACTAATGAGATAAACAACATAATTCATTGTGGGTCCTGCTATTTCCTTTATAATCAAATGGTCAGAACCTTCTGTGGTTGCCCTATAAGGCACTGAAATGAATGGCCATTCAGGGGAACAAAAGCCAACACCAAACTGTACCTGGATTCTTGCATATGTAATGCCTTCTCAGTTCAAATGGACCTATCCTTCTGTCAGTTGGGAATTCCTGTTTTTCTTGACTTATTTTTGATAAAAACAAAAAGCAGCATATTTCTGGAAGCTTCTCTTGCCACAGTAGGGTCTCCCATATTCCCCTTCTGTTCCAAAGTCAGTGGGTTTTGCTTTTGAAGACTGGTTGAGCAAAATGAAGTATCCCTCTCAGATGAATAAGATCGCAGTAGCATTACTTGTTAGCACACAACCTTGTCAATTAGGAGAGGAAAAACAGATCTTTATGTAGGGCATTTTCCATCCCTGTTGCGACTCTTTCTACTCTAGCTGCTAGGAGTTATTTGCCCAATCAGCTTTTTAAGTTTTAAAACTTTATGCTTGGTAGGAAAAAGGATGAGTGACTGAGGTTTGCTTCCACCCCCTGCACCCTTCAATTTTTCTCAAAAGGCATGAGCTCTCAGCTGCAGAAACAATAACACGAACAAGATGTCCATCCTGCAATCCCTGACAGTGGCCTTCATTTGTTTAAATTAACTGGAACAATTGCTACTTAGGCCAAGTGAGATAGCAAGCATTTATTCACCCTGCTTTAATGTGTGCTGCGTCTTGTGTTTTGTCTTGCAATTATTTTATATTCTCAAGATCAATGTCTTTAGGCCACCAGTTACTGCTGCTGTTCTGACCAGGGAACATGTGCCTTCCCAGCCTTAAGAAATGCTGCTCTCAGTTTGAGTGACCTAATTCTCCATTGATGGATAATGTTGGAGGAGAAAGCAACTCTCTGAGGTGCAAGGCTGTGGAAATTGCACTTTCAAAGTGAGGAGGTTGCCTAACTTATTTTGAGGACATCCTCCCTTTTTAATAATGGGATGCCCTCTTGATGGCATCCCTCTAGCACACTATATTTGTTGCTTCTTTCAGAATTAGCTGCATCACAGCATGTTACAGAATTGACACCACAGTGCTGCAGGGACAGGTATTTCAGCACATTTGATCTCACAACCCTGGAAAGGAAAACAGGTGGAGAGAGAAGATTTGCTGTGCAATTCATACATTTCATATGTCACATTGAGCTTATCCAGTGGGAAACTTCATAGTGATGAATCAGCTGTTGGTTTCCACTTTGCATGGCATGTGTAGACATCCTTTAAAAATTGTTTGGTATCCTTTTAGTTACAAGCAGGGGTTTTCTTTCTTTGATTTTTAAAAATATTTCCTTTCCCTTTACCAACATTTGCCTCCAAACTGCTGTTTGCCATGCAAGGAAATATGTATGGGTACAGAATTGTATTATATTTCCCTTCCATTGACTTCCCAGTCATAAAACCTGTGTATACTTCCCAGTAAACCAAACAAATGTGCACACATATGCCAGACAATGAAAAAAACACACTCATGGAGGTGGCAGATAAGGAAAGAGCAAATGGGGTGACAAATACCAGTGGGACTTCCTATCCCCAGAAATGGGCCTATTCACGCCATCCCATTCAGCAACCGGCTCTCGTTCTTTTTCTCATTCTCTCTTCCCCACCCTTTTTTTTCTTGTTAGGGATCAGCAACCACAGCAGCAAATGCTACAAAAGGAAGCCACAAAAAGAGGTGGGATTAATATCTCCCTTGTCAGAGAAGCTGCAGATCTCGGGAAGTGTCAAAAACATGGAGGTCATTATTTATTTATTTCATTTTTATACTGCCCATTAACCGAGTTTCTCCGGGCAGTTAAAA